GGCTCCATCCTTCCTGGCTCAGTGGGTGCAGGGTGTGTGGGTGCTGAGGTGCACAGGGATAAATTGCCTGAAATGGTCCTGGTACCAACTGATGTGATGTGACAGGAGAACTGCCATCCCACAGATGTTCTCATCCAGATTCCCACCAAGGCCAGGTTTTTCCAGCCTTCCCCGTGCAGCCCCCAAACTGAAAGGCATCAGTCCTCTGTCCTCTTCTCCATTTTGGACGAGCAACGTGGATCCCATGAGTGTTACAGGGGAGCAGCCAACCCCTTCCCACCAGGATGCTGCTGGAAAGGAGGGGTTGGGACTCAGGCTATCAGGTGGGATCTAAGAAGAGATTTCTCAAAGGAAAAGCTGACATTTCCCCCAGCCACATGCTGTTCCATGCTACCCAGCCAGCAGCTGCAGTCTGAGTTAGGGTTAATTACTTTCATTATTTCAGTCTTCTGCTGGAATTTAACATTGTCCAAATAAAGTGAGGGCTGTACAGCCTCCGTGGGGCTCTGCTCTACCCACCGCTGGGTCTTACCCAGCTAAGCAAACGGGAAAGGAAGGAGGCAACCCCCCTGAGCAATGCTGAGCAGAGATTACAGAGTTAACTTTACTCCTCCATTCAGTTAAACCAAATTGGATTTGCCAAGCTGGCAGCCCCTCTCCTGCCTTCTCTGTCCAGTATGAATCTAATTAAAATGCTCGTTCTCCCATGCAGATTTCTTCTCCTCAGTTCAACTTACTGGAAAAGAAGAACCGGCTGTGAAGGGTCAGGTCAGGGTCAGCTGGCAGAGCTCATCACAAATTGCCAAAACGGCATCGGCACAGTGGCATCAGAGAGAGGACCCTGTTGTGGGGCTAGGAGGGACAGTGGCAGCATCTCTGCTTTCCCGTGAAGGCTTCTCAAATGTGTGTGCTTAAACCCGCATCTAATAAAGCCCCAGGACAGCTGATGTAGGGGTGTCAAAGGCAGAGTGGCTTTCACGACAGGAAGAGACTCTTCTCATATTGGCAGGAGTGCCTTCTTCAGTTTGTTGTGAGATACAGCATAAGAAATTAAGTTTTGTGATAGCACAGCCCTTGCAAAAACATCTCCAAAAAAATGCATTTTCCCCTCATCTGCTGCACAGATACTCACACTTAGTTTTTGCTTTCTTTTTGAAAACACAGGGTTTCGCTGTTCAGCGTCTTTGTGCTGGTGAGCATTGTTGCTCTTACAGGAATTTCCCCGTGGTACTTGGCACCGGGGGAATTTGCACGCTCAGGGCAGTGGCAGTCCCTGCAGGGTCTCTCTGGTGCGTGCAGCAGGAGCAACCATGGGTGGGATGTCCCAGGGTGAGGGTGAGCCGGCAGCCCCAGGTATAGCGAGGCGAAAGGGCTTGCCACAGGCTGCCCATGGCAGGGCAAGGACAGCGGTCCCAGTTCCTGCCCAGGCAAGTGCCTGGTCCCAAGGACCAGCCTTGTCCCTGGCTGCATGCTGATGGAGAAGCGACAGTTCTGTCCCAAACACAGAGGAAAAGAGTTGTTGTGACAGAGAGAAGCCGATCCCTTCCCTCTTTTCTTTTCCTCCAAGCCCCACACGAGGGGCAGGAGCTCTGTCCTTGCTCTGCACTAGCTGGCCAGGGCCGCATGTGCCTCTTGCTGCCAGCTCTCAAAGGAAAGAGGTCATTGCCCTGTGTTTATGTATCAACTTTCTTCCTCCCCATTTACAGGCTTTCTTCAGACAGGGAAAGACCGCTCTGCTTTCCAGGCCTGGCATTGAACGATCACCCCTGGTACTCACCTGCTTGCTATTTGTCAGGGATCCTCTGGGCCACAGCTCCAGGAGAGGCGAAGGACAGTGTTGTTACCTTAACCCCTCCCAGCCTCAGCACAAGCAGAGGATAATCCCGAGATGTGGAATTCAGGCAGAGCCCACCCAGCATTAGCATCCCCAGGCGTGGGGAAAGCAGCACGGCCCTCTCATGACCCCAAGAAAGCGGTGTTTCAAATGGGAGCAGAGCTTTCTGCTCTTGTCCTCGAAAATGTTTCTCAGTACCTTTTTTTTTTTTTTATGGAACAGGAGAGAGAAATCCTCTCCACATTAATCAATTAATAAGCGGAGGAAGCAAGAGCTCCTGCTGATGGCAGCTCTCAGTTTAAGTGCGGTGGGTCATTCAGATTTGTGACTCATGGGCCACATTAGTTCCCAAATTGCCTCAGCCGGGCTGGATGGCTCTGGTGGAGGGGGGTGGGATTTAAGACAATTGCTGTTTCCATTTTAGGAAGCAGCTATTTACTGTTGTTAACTGCACATCAGGGAATACTTTAAAATGCTCAACATCTGTCATCAGCCAGATTTTATCCTTCTTTAGCAGAGAGTGGGAAACAGGTCCTGAACAAGTGGTGCAGAGCTGCCCGAGTTCACATCGGAGCCAGGCAGCAGCCACAGACCATCCCCAGCCCGTCGCAGGTGGGGAGGCTCCTGCTACATCCATCACGGCTGAATTCTTCAATGGCCAAACCTGAAAACCACATTTAGGAACAGCAAAGATCAGGGCAGCTCCCTCCGAGAGCTCTGTGCCCTATTCCCGAGGCTGGATCAGGTAGGTGTGGATCTGACATGAGATGCTGGCACTAGGACCTCTTCCAAGGCAGCATTTCTGACCAGTGCTGCTGGGTCCTTCGCTCTGATTTAGTTGTACAGCACGTGTGCTTGTGTGCATGGAGGGACTCGGAGGTCCTCATTGTCACCTCAGATGCTGCCACCCCCTCACCATCACCTCCAAAAACAGCTCATGCAACAAGCAGCCATTGTCTTGCCTGAGACCAGCCATGGTCCAGGGACCAAACTATCATGCTGGCCATGATCCCAGCTGGACCCTGTGAGCCCTGAGTGGCCAGATGGCACAGTTCGGTGCTGAGGAGATGCCCTCGGCTGTGAGAGGAAGGCCGTCAGCATGCCTGGGAGCAATGTGCCTCTCCTTCCACACCAACCGCTGCTCCCACTGCTGGCGTCACAGCTGGCAGCATGGCTGGAGGTGCTCAGACAGCCCCCGTCACGGCTGGCAGCACGGCTGGAGGTGCTCACACAGCCCCCGGTGTGGGACAGGGAGGAATGCAGAGTGTCGGTGGTAGTCAAAGAGGCTACGGATGCCCTGGGAAAACAGGTTAAAAGCATCTACTTTAGTTTAGTGGTACCACTAACTGATCTCTCTGCCTCCCACCATCTCCAAGGATCTGTGCTGTCAGCATCCCACCAAAGCAGCTGAAGGTGGCTTCGGTGACCTGGGCTCTGCCTCTCCTGCCCTCCCAGGGCAGTGCAGAGCCAGGGATAAGCAGGGAGCACGGGGGACAGACTGCAGGGCAGCTCAGGCACCAGGGAAGCACCAAGAGAAACAAGGAGGGGTGCCCCAGCTGCATGCCTGCTTCGGAGGGCCTGCAGCTCGTGGCAAGGCAGCACCAGCCCCACCCCATGAGCCGTGACCCCCCAAACCTCCCAACCAGCTTGACTCCCCATCAGGGTACAGTGGTTGTTACTGTCCCAAAACGCAGTGGCACTAACCCGAAGCCTCTACAGGCCCAAGATACTGAAAATAAACACCACTGTTTCTTAGATGTAGAAGAGGTACAATGGGGGTGGTTCTAGATGCAACACGAATTCTTGGCAATCAGGCTGACAGTGCTGGGCTCGCCAGGCAGAAAGACAGTAGAGAAATGAAAATGATTGCTCCTCCCTACACCCAAAACCACATACACACACAAGTCTCATACCAGCACTCCTAAAGTAATTTCTCCCCCACTCAGCCTGCCCACAACACACTGATGGCTGGAATAAAGACAGGAAAGGCTTTCCATAACTAATGCGGAAAAACATTGCTAATGAAATCTTTATACTTCGTCAGACAACTATTACACTATTACAGCTTTTCTTATGGTTATCAGCACAAACACATACTTTTTCCACAGCATTTCAGACATCCCTGTCTTTGGTTTACTGATACCAGCGTGACAGGCATACACTACTGCCATACTTTCTTGCAGCGGGACCAGTACATTTCAAATGACTGGTTAGGACATCAAGCACAAATAAGACAAATTCTCAGCAGTTGGAAGTCAGAGTCTATTTTTTTTTTTTAATTAAAAACACAAACCTTGCCATTAATTTTCTTACATTCATAAAACCAACAAATCAGGCAACCCTTGTATACTCACACTTTCCAAGTTGTCTTTTCCATGTCCTATGTGAAAGAAAATTGCAGCGGACTATTATGACATGATTATTTTTCCTTCCTAATACAAACATCTTGAGTTTTCCTTTGCCGTTTGTCTTTTTGTCTCACTGATGCCCAGTAAAGCACAAATATATGTATGTGAAAATGAGGAACTTTCTCGTAACGACCTTAGATGAGTGCAGAATTTCAAGACAGTGCATAAGCCGTGGTACTTAGGCACGAACCCTCCAGGCCTTCACGACCTTTTTCCCATAGCCTCGTACCTTACTTTTGAGATTTAAACCTCTAAACAGTGCTGCTATAAAAGGTTCTGGTATAAAAAGCTACTGCTTTGGCTTAGCAGCCCTTTATACTGCAATAGGAGAAGTGGCAATAGTGAGTATGTGCACAGGGACCAGGTAAAAGTTCATGTGACCGACAGGTATCTCAGCATTTCCAGCCAGGCAAGAAGCCACAGCAAGGTCAGGGCAATTGCTCTTGGAAGAGAGTTACCAAAACAATTTTGTTCTGTCCTATGGAACCAAAACAGAAACTTTAGATAGCAGGTGTTACTGGCTTATATGAAGGCTGCTTGGCTGAAGAGCCCAAGGGAAGAGACTAGCAAAATTCAGTAATTTTACAAAGATGATGTGCATATGTTCCTTTCAACAGGAACTGACTTTTTACTAAAAGCAGAAAAAGAGCACATGGGTTTTTTCTTAACTGCATGCTTTGTCTACCTGACACAACGCCATCATTCAAAGAGCAGAAACTGTCAGACCAAGAATAGTGCCATAAAAATGAAGACTAGTATTTCAGTTGTAAAATCATTTTTTTATTGTTACAAATATACATATGAATAAAATCCCTTCAACCTGTAATGTAAGTGGGTAGCTGTGAAATTTGCACCCCCTCCCTCAAAAGCAGAAACGTTTTTACAGATGTCAAACTATTTTTCTCATAGAATTACACATTGAAAGGAAGCTAATATGCAGACAAAACTGAGGAAGGCCTCTAGAAAACACCAATATTAATAAAATTTCAATTGCCCTCATTCCAATCAACTATATACATTAATATATGAATGTGGAAGCATACCATGATTATACGTCATCCAAATCCTTCTCTGTTGTGCTTTTTGACAGTACACAAATGTAAGCGTTGGAGCTTTATGTACAGTACAGGAACAGGAAGAAAGAAGTTCCCTATGGGAGAATGTAAAAACCATACCCAAGCATTTAATATATATAATCTATACAAATTATTTTTATTAGTGTGCTCTTTTAATATAATTACAATGTGCAATTGCATACCGCAAGAATATATTTATAGGTAAGTCACGTGCAGATCTGACACACATTCAGCAGTACAACACATTACCTGCTGTACAGTGTATTAGTGTAAGACAGTGTCCAGTTAATTTGCTTTGCTTTCTAAATGCCCTAATGCAGGGCACTCTTTGTAGCTGCTTCAGAGAAATTCAAGTAGAATACATGAAAGAATTGCTGGCTTTAGCAGAGGCATGGAAAGGAACGTCTGCATTGTACGGAACAGAAATTAAGGACCGAATCAATGCCAAGTGAGTGTACTGTAAATCACGATTGGAAGATCAGGTTTACTGCATGGAAATGTACCTGTGGTGGAAAAGCAGCTGGCTAGGAGGGCTGTTGACTGCTGTACCCTGATTGTTATAAAAAGCTCTTGCGCTACGAAGCACTTGTACTGATTGCTAAACAAAAATAAAATCTTTATCAGCTTCTTCGCCAGAGTCACTGGACTTGCTTCCCTGATGGCCGTCTTTACTTAAGGATCTCTGCTTCAGTTCCTGGAACTCATGGGACTGCTGCCCAGGGCTTTTTTTCGCAGCTGTATAAAACAGAAGTAAGTCTTAGTAATGATTGTAGAAGAGAGAGGAAGAAAAATAATACAAAACCAGTCATTTATGCACACAGGACCTGCTCCTGCTCCCACTGAATTAATTTGCACTGGTGGGAGTAGAATAGGTCCATTAATTCTTCAACCCAGAAAAAGGTGAGAGAGAAGAGAGAGTTTGAGCAAACTATTCCACCATTGGCTGGCAGGCAGTCAAACCTGAAATATGAAACTCAGTACCTCACTGGGATATGGATGAACATGACAGTTAGAAACAGCCTGGAGACTTTCTTCTCATCACACCGCTTCAAAACCAGAACAGCATTCTTTTTCCAGCTGGGCTAGATCACAGACTATGTGCTCCTGGCTCTCAGGTGGATGTCCGTGCTGGGCACGGCTCAGACCAGTGGCACACGCCCTGGGCAGGCCTGTCTCCCTGGCAAGACACTGCTATATTCTCCCTTTTGACTCAACAGCCTTAATCAGGACATTCACCCTGGCATTGAAGTTACCTGAACTGCTGCTCCCTGCCCCACCAGCACTGCCAGGTCCTGCTGCCCTCAGAGGGGGACACCCATGGCCCGAGCCCAACCTGCATCTCTTCCAGCTGAGACACCTCCCTGTGCTCGGCTGTGGAGAAAGCAGGAGGACATACCCTCTTCCCAAGAAAGCTGACAGTACCCATTTTGTTCGCCGAGCACTCTAAAAATCTCAGTGAGGCCAGTGTTTTCCCAAAACCTGTAAGCTTTGAAATAAAATGGAAAGAAGGCTGTAAAACCTTGTTAAGATTCCTGACCTGATCAGTGGTCTAAAATTGCTATGGTAACAAGAGAGGAGTTACACACATCAATGGGGGTGACGTTACACAGCTTTAGAATCTCATACGTTCAATTAAAATGAATCTTTAAAGACTCAGTGGCCCTTAAATGTGACTTCGTTGCAAGTTGTCTCACTTCAGCCCCACAAACTTAAAATGTTACAGTTCTGAGACCTTCTTTGCTCCACCATTTCAGACAAGGATGTCTGGCTTTGGTTCCCACTGATCTTTGTGCCTGTTCCCATTCGTGCACATCTCTCTTAACCAGGCACTAGCAGCTGTGGCGACCACAAAGCATCACCTCTCCTGCCCTGCATGCCACTCACCTGCAGCCTCACCGCTGCAAGGGACAGCCTGCCCTGTCACCAGCCCGCAGCTCCAGCCGCAGCAGGGGCAGACGAGAAGCAGGCTGTTGCTGATGCATCTCCATGGCCATTCCAAATTGTGCCAGGCTGTGTCAGGGTCTGCCAGCAACATGGGAAACACAGGCGGGAATCCTGAGGGAGCCGATGCTGCTGAGCTGTTGGGGCAGCCTCAGCAGGGATACAGCATGACTGCCCCCACAGCGCTGGTGCGTGCCAATGGGCTGTGAAACAGGGCACAGAAGGCTCTGGCCCTTTGTCATTTGGCACAGACACTGTCCAGTCCTGGATCTCTGCTGTGATGAAAGCAGAATGGACATATCCAGCATGCATCTTGCGGAGACCCACCTGCACACACGTGGCACATTTCCTCCCCAAATAGTTCTCCTGAGTCCAAAATACCCGTTTCCTTATTTCTGCTAGCCAAAATACGGGAGGAAATGAGGGCCAGCAGCTACACACTCGCTGCATTCTTATCCCAGCTTTGCAAGTTTGGAAAGAAGAGGAACAGATATTGAGAAAGGTTTTTAAAGCTACTTAAAGGAATTGGAGAGGACTAAGATACTTAAATTCTATGAAAAAAAAATTAGGCATTTGCACCTTCCCAAACACCACAGTTTTTTAAAGAAATAGGTGCCCGGAAATTTCCAAGTCACTCTTGATACTTGTACCTCCTAGTAACTAACTACATGGCCTTTGTTTGAGCCTCCATTCACTCTCCAGACAAAACCCAGAAACACATTTTGCAATAGCCATTTCAGTTCATGGCCTGATAAGACCAGACATGTAGTTTGCCCTCAAAATGCCTGAAAAATATATTAGGCATTTAAGTCCAAATACTGCAAGCAGGCTTCTGCCACAAGAGCTTGCCCTTGCCCCCATGAAACCGCACGTGGGTGGACTTGCATAGATCTGGGGTAGCATCTCAGCTTTTGAAACTTACTTCATCAGACAGATATATTAGAATGAACTAAAATATAAGAATCTGATTACGGTGGTGAAGAGAGATTCCAAGCTTGGGTGGGCTGAGTTTGATTCTACAATATGAGAAGAAAATAAGTTTACACTTCTTGGGCTGAGGAAGGAGAGGGGCAGATGGGATGTTTCTTTCCTTTTCCTCATAATTTTTTCAAATTATGGAAAACTTACAGAAGGGATACATGATGTCTTATAAACAGAAGAACTGTGGGTAAATGTAAACAAAAATGTAAATGTAATAAGTTGTTAAAATACCTCATTAAAATACTTCAGAAAAAAATAATTTTGTATCATTGTCAAAAAAACCAAACCCTGCAGGTAAAGAGAAGCATGTAAGCACACACCATTTGAGAACAGGAGCTTTCATATTTTAGAAACACATAGATCAAACAAACATTTGTATAGTTTACTGAATTAGTTCACTAGAAGCCAAAGCTGCTCTTCAGGAAGCACGGCTTATGCATGCAGCACAGTGCTGGGTTTGGGTTCTTTTGGCATTTGTTTGTTTCTGCAGCTGAAAATCAAAGTGCTATGTCAAAATGAGCTGATTTACCCAGTTCTCAAATGGTTTTGTGAGTAATGTACTGAAACTGACACTAACAATATTCAGGCCATGTGTTTTGAAATACTTCAGAGCACAAAAAAGAAAGGCAGGAAGCGTACAAAGCGGCAGAGAGTCCACCTGCAGAGTACTTACATGGCAGCGTGCCAGCATCACTGCAACGAGCAATCATGGTTTATCATGAGCCCTCTTCTGCAGAGGGGCTGCAGGTGCTATATGGTACGGGTCACTGGTGTTGCCACGAAGGAAAAATGCACACACATTTCTTATCTGGAATTTTTTTCATGCCATGTAGTTCCCATGGGGACAGAAAGATGATTAGCATCCCATCAGATTTTTACCTTTCTCATAATCCAATGACAAACCCACACCCTTTTGTGGCTTCTTTGCTATTACTGTTTCTTAATAATTGTTAGTGCCAGTTATCAAGCATCGTCTCAAAGAAAAATGAAAACTTCTAACCAGAAGTTGGCTGTGCCTTCCTCTGCCCAAGCACATTAGCTTCCTCTTCTGCACTGGTAGAATACTGCCCCGAAGTGGTTTTCACGCTGCCAGATGGCTTGGCACAGTCATAAGCTGTATCACTTTTTTGAGCATCTCCTGTTTGCTCTAGTAGAGAAAAGGGTTCATTTATACTCCTAAGCTTTTCTGTAGGCCCACATATGGAAAACAATATAAATAATTTCACTTATCCATTGCATTTAAGCAATTGTTTGAAAAGTAGTAATCAATACGCCAGACACTTACTTAAATTTAGTCCAGATATTTGCATATGCTGGTAACTGCAGCCTGATCTTACAGGTATACTGTGTAAAGAGGTGTATTTTGAGATTGTCCCACAAAGTACATTTAAACTCATTAACACAAAGCAATTTTATAATCAATTATCATCTAATGTGAAGCTTTCTTTTGCGGGAGACATAATTTTGCTTACTAACTTAGATAGATTTGCAGTGATTTACCAGTTGCAGAAATAAATTGAGCATGCTAGCCTGAAAGGCGTCAGAAAGCAAGGACAGAGGAATGACTGAATGAAGAAGTAGAATAGCAACAAAGAAAAAAGGAAAACCTAAGAATGAATAAAAAATAAAAAGAAACAGAATTTACTGTTTCCCAAACGATTTTATGCAAAGCATAGCAACTCTGTAAGGACCTCGAAACCAAATTTTAGCCATTCTAAACTATTATTGATAAAATTTGTACAGTGCAATGTAGCAGCAACTAGAAAACCCTGTATTTGACCAAGTAGTCTGTAGAGGTCTAAGGGAGCAAGGAGTGAGGACAGCACAGTGTCAGACCCCTTTTGTGTAAAGATTTGCAAACAGCAAACACATTTTAAAAAAAAACCTGATTGTCCCTCTTCTCAGGTGACAAACACAAACTGCAAAACCTTGTCAAACCTCTGCCGTGTTAGAGATTACTGTAACACAAAAGGATTGTAGTTATGATCCCATATTCCTTGCTCCTCCAATATGCCCCCTCTCATGCCAGGGAGATGGTGAAGGCATTTAGCACAGAAATGGTGAGGTTAACATCCTGTTAAAATATACCTGCAGCAAGTCCCATTGCACTGTTTCTCTAGTTCTGCAGTATCAAGATCTCTCTTGTATTCTGGTGAAAAGCTGGTGAGAAAACAAGGACTCTAGCAAACGCAGTTATCAGACAGCAGCTGAGAGAGTCTGCTGACTGCAACCATTCTCAACATGATGGCACCAGTGTAGCGAGTCTGATCCCTAAGCTGTGGCCCAGTTCACCTGTCCCAACACAGGCTCTCATGGGACTAAAGGCAGGAGAATAAACAGGCTTTATTGTGCCTTGCACCCTTCATAATGTCACAGCCACCAGGAGGCACTTCAGACCCTCCTTTTCAGGACCCCAAGCCACAGACTGCAGCAGCTTTTGGCAATATGGGCCATCTGAACCTTCAGCCCTTTCCAGACACAGCAGAGGTCCTTGGGTGTGCAGTGTCCTGCTAGCTCTACATAACTCGGTGAGATTGTGGTGCTTCTGCTGGGCAACCTTTATAGCACACGAGCCACCCAATAGCATCATACAGGTGGCTGAGTGACAGCCACAATTTGTAGACAGATACTGCACATGTGCTGACATGTGGTCACCAAATGGTAGCCACCACAGCAACAATTCTCCAAGCAGAGCAAAATCCAGACTGAAAGGGAAGTCATTTTATAAAGGAAACGGTAGTTTTAGGGAAGAGAGGAGCTTCTCAAAACATACCTCTGGACCCTCCCACTTTGGGGATGGCTTTGCCCCTCCTCTCATCTCTGTGGGCAGCACACCTACTTAGTCTTCACAACACAGTGTTATGCATCTACCTTGACTCATCTGCTCCCATCCTACCCTTCAAACTGCTGTCAGAGTGTGAAAGGGCACCCCTTTGTCTCACAGCTTAAGTAACAGGAATCACCTTGGGATGGAAACGGGGCTCACTGTCTTTCTTAAGTAGAGTCCCAGGAAGGAACAGGTCTCACGCCCAGATGTCCGACCCTGTCATCTGTGCCAGCTAATACCAGACTGAGCAATATTTCTGTGACTACTTCTCCACATATCCTATGCTATCAGAGAAAGCCTTAGCTCTTCTAAGAGTTAACTGTGGGCAAGCAAACCCGTCAGCAAAAGTAAAGACGCAGTGCACACGTGAAAAGCAGCAGAGAGAGGGCAGCAGCCTACCCCTGTGAGTAAAAGGTACCAAGCCCTGCCCTGGCACGCAGAGACACACTGCCCGAGGAGGAGGTGAACTCAGTCACCTGCAGCGACCCCACAGAAAGGAGGAATACAGAGCAACAGGCTGCCTGCAAGGAGCAAAGTCATGGCTGCTCCCCTGGAAATGCGCTGAAGCACAGAGCTGCATTTCACATTATTGTGTGTGATCAGTACCAATTGGCATCTTGATTCAGACCAAACTAGACCATAATATACACAAGAGTCCCTTAAATTGTTCAGCTACTTTTTTAATACCACGGGATTCATCTTTCACATGGTTTCATCAAAGGAAGAAAATATAGAGCACCAACCCAAGGGTGGAGGAGATGGGGAATAGGTGACGAGGAGATGGGGAATAGGTGACGAGATACACTTTCCTTGCTCTTTTTTTCCTCCAAATGAATAACCCTCTTCCCTTCCAAGTGAAAAGAAACCAGGGGACAATGACACCTCAAATTTTAGTAGAAGACAAGCACACTGTAACAACAGTTATACCAACACTCCTACCTTCTTGGGAAAACGATCTGATGGTGGGGCTGCTCTGACCATCCTTTTCTTTATCAGAAGGAACTTTCTTCAGCACAGGGGGAAGCAGGGCAACTTTTGGGGAACTGGGGCCGGAGGGAGACTCTGGAGCATCCTCTGCGGAGTACCACGAACAAAAGAGTGAGAAGATTTATTTGTGCTGTAGCTTACAGAAATGGTCCTGTTATAGTGGGCCAAACCTCAACACAATACACAAACAAGAAACAGCTAGAATCTGCGTCAGAAACAGAAGGATTCAGGAACTGACATTATGCCAAGAGAATACACGATGGCTCTCACTCCAGGTGAAAGAACTTTAACAGCCAAAGCAAAGGTCTCAACTTCAGCTTTTTTAATGTGTACTGCTGCTGTAGCACAAATAGAAATCCAATGGGACCAACGGAATTTCCTTCAAGACATAGGTATGCCATTTGTAAAGAACACCTGAAAATTATTTTTGGATAGATTTTTGGAAATATTTCTTCTATTTATATCTTTGCTGTCCTGACACATAACAAAATGATGAATTGAGATATCCTGTTTCACAGTTATAAGGTATAAAAGTGAAGCAGTGAAATAAATGTCATAAATAGCCTACAGAACTCTGTACTTCCAGGAATAAATTGCCAGTGCATGATAGCATCTGCAAAGATTTTCTAAATAGAAAAAATACTTCATCTTCTGGACTGTGAGGAAATCTAGAATTTAAATCCTAATCTATAGTTTAAACCATCTGGATATCTTGTTTCTCTAAAAGGCTGGAGGTGTGTTTTGTATGGCAAGTTGACTACTGTCTTTACAGTCCTTACAGGAAGACCTTTTCAGTCTTACACTAGACAGCCTTTGTTTGGACAGCAGGGAAGTACAGCTATAATGGATTAGTTAAAATGCTTGTAAGTTTGCTTCCCAAGGAATAAACAGTGGTATATACACAACAGAGGAACTAGGAAGATATATTAGTACTGACAGAAGGACAAAGGAACTCAGTATCAGCTAACGCGTATTGTGTATTTGTACAATGTGTTAATTCAGCTGCATACTGAAAATTAAGAGGAATTTATCCCACTGTTGAGGAGCCTCCACAAAGGAGTCAATCTTTTTACTTTCAGCAAATGGAAGCGATGACCTTCCAAATGCAACTCAATCTGGACAGATACACCTATTGTCATTACCTTCTTCATGTTTTCGATGTGCCTGTGAGGCCAGTTGCTTTGAGAAGCTTGGTAGCAACATATGGATGAGCACAGTGCTCAGCCAACACAGCTATGTATTCTGAACTAAAGCCGTTATGTGCTTTATTGAGGAACCACTTACAGTTTTTGATAATTTATGGACATCTACGACGTGCTCCTTTGCCCTCAGATTACTTAGCAAAAATTTGCTACCATTAGTCTGGCCACACCGCTGGAAAAAACAGCAGGAGCAGGAGCAGGAGCATGAATAGGATTATTGCCTGGCTTCTTCATCGCGCTGCCTGGGTGTGCTTAGCCAGCAGGTTGCTCCAAGTACTAGGATAAAAGATAGACTGCAATAGAGATGGTGCTGCTTTTGCTGGCACCCAAGGAGCTGGCCTATTACAAGTAAATATTAATTACTTTCTGTGTTAAACCCACCTATGCTCCCTCTGCAGGAAATAGGAGCTGTCAGAAACAGATAGCTCAGGTCTTTATGATATTTAAGATTTTGAGATAACATACTGCTTATTTTACAGATTAAGCATCACCAAATAAGTCATGCTTTCCAATTGTATTCATCTTCGTGAGCATCTTACCTGGCACCTCTCACTTCTACCACCATTTCTAAAATGGCCACTAGTATAGAATTAAAGCCATGTAAAAACTGAAGGTGATTATGCACTTGGAAAACATTCTACCCACTGGAGTGCAGAGACTAAGAAACACTCAGGTACACATCAAAGGGCAGGGAAGAGGCTATAATACCCCTCTGCCCCCTTGTCCTGACCAGAAATCACATCTTTCTAAGGTCAACAGTGATTATAGGGAAAGCTTAGAGGTCTGTGAGCTCTTACAGATGGCTATGCTCATATTTTGCAGTCATGAGCAATTAACAAGCTGTATTTGCCACAGCTATGGGGGGAGTCAGTAACTAGCATTTAATTCCTTTCAACTGCACTGGCAGCACTTTGTGACATTGACCTATTAAATAGCGGACAGACAAATTTATGGGAGATCTGCTGAAATAGTTCACACTCTCGGAAGTCTTGAGAGAATATCTGGGCTGGAGGTTAGGATGGAGCAGAAGTTAATAGTCATTCAAATCTGAGTCTCGGGTTATAAAAGCACAGTTACAATTATTGCCAGTCAAAAGCAATAAGGAAAGAAACAAAGGCAAAACAAGGAAAAAGAGAGTGAAACATAATTAGTTTGTACAAGTTATTAAGAGTAGCAGGCATTTGCTTGAGGGGCTAAGAGTAGCCTGCCAGAAAACCCCAAGGACTTTAGTATTTAGAGCCAGGTGTTTAGAGAAAATACAGTTATTTTTGTTGGTGCTACTGCAACAGGACTTTGATGCTGAAGTATCTCTCTGTGCTCTCCTCTTACACAAAAGCCAGCTCTGCTGCTGCTCTTATTCCTTTTCCTCAGGCTTCACTATTGTGGATCACAGATTAAACCATTTTAATAAGTTTGTTTGAATTAGGGCAGAGGGAGGTGGAAAAGAAAGATGCAAGTGACTGAAGAACCTGTCCCTCTCCTTCTGTTCAGGATGTGGCCATGGATGTCTCCTCTGTAGCCCACACAAAGATCACTCAGAAATACCCAGCTGGGGATAACAAATGTCCAGAAGAGCTCCTCACCAGTACGAGAGGCAGAGCGTGGTTTCTGTGGCACTGTGGGTCGTCCTGCCAGGCTGGGCTTTGTTGATTGCAGTGGGGGTTTTGGGCTGGTTGGTGTATTGGAAGAACTTCTTGCTTTTGCACCAGTTTCTGCCTTTGGTTCAGCTTTTGAATTTTTTTCTGATGATGCTGAGATGGAGTCAGCTTTACTTGAGGCAAACCGACTCTCTGGAAGGGTCTGCTGGAGTTTAGGCACTAAAATAAATAGACACGTAAAATAAAGGCTCCTGCAACACAGAAGGCTTTGTGCACAGGTATGCTTGCGGGGAAAATATCATCATTATCTTATATGGCAACTCTCCCTTTTTAATATATTTGGGGTGACGGCTTACACTGGAACTTACACTCCCTTCATATTTATGGGAACAGATGGTACAGCCTACCTGCTGAGAAAGCAGTGACTGATCAGTGGAAAAGGAAGCCTTTGGCTGTTCTGTGCCTCTACAGACAAAAGGCTGGCTATCCAAGATCAACAGAGGAATCCTGGCCCAGAAAATAAATCCCAAATGTGTGATCAGCAGGCTACATTTTGTTATTTGTTGCTTTTAGCAAGCTCTAGAGGAGATTTTGAAACTTAGCTGAGATGAAAGTATTCTTTATATAACATTTTGCTTTATCTAATAACATTGTATACGGATTATGCTTTCCACACATTAGCAAGTTTATCAGCATATTATTTATCCCAAACAAAGACAAAGGTATTTACAGATAAAACTACTGACTTCCAAGCAATGAATCAGTCCTATTTAGCTGTGCAAGTTGGTAGAAAGCCTGCTGGACAGTATATTGCAAACAAGCAAAATGCATGCCCTACTTCTCTTCTTTGCAGCTTTGAGAAGGTTAAAGATTTTTATGAAGCAGATATAATGATAATCTTGGCACCTGTGTGCTAGCTTGGGACTTTCCACAACTGTCACATCTTTGTTCTCAGAAGAGAATCACAGACTAACTGAAATGCAGACCAGTGGCCTTGGTACCTATCAGAGGCAAGTATATGCTCACAGATGCTGACTTGACCTACCTACCTGCTATTCCCATTCAGAAATCCTACTTGTTACAAAAGTGCTGAGCACAGACATCTTAATGGCAGTGGGAGGGAGGTGAGTGTTGATACAGTTTGTTGCAAGCCAACATCCAGTAAGTTTTCCCAGCTCATGTAGCTGTTTTTCAGCCCAGCTGGAGTTAAAACTCTGGCAAACTCCATGGAGTTGTGTGCTGCATATATATTTGTGTGAGTGTGTGACAGGGAGAGTTTGTGTCTGTATACTTGCAATAGACCTTCATGCTGCAAGCGAAACAGCAGGACACCTTCTCCACCTGTGTGGCTATGCATACAAAAAAGCAGGCAATACCCAGACATGAAAAAGGAATTTAAAAGCCCCTTATTCTCCTTCTGCATCACTATCTACAGTTTTCCTGTAGCAACATCCAGCAATTTTCCATTAACTCTCTTTCTTGCCTTCCTAACCTCAGGCCTGCTAATATTATTACAACTCAGCAAGTTAAAATAAATTAACCCAAAACAAAGATAAACTCTACTTGCATCAATGAAGAGCAGCCTCAGGGAGCTGTCAAGCAAGAGTGGTAAAGAAAGAACTGACAGCCGGAGGCCAAAAAGGAAGGGGCATGCACAGTGCAGTGAGGTGGGGGTGAAATGTGTCATATACAGAGACAAGGACCAGAGAAAAATTGGGGTCAGATACCCTCACAGTTACTCTAAAGCCCCAAACACAGACTATTCTTGCTCCTCTGATTTCAGTTTGATGATATCAGAAGACACATATAGTTCACAAGGTCCTCCTCAAAAGATTAGCAGACTTTAAAAGTGTTAATTTATAGAGTTCAGCATGCTTTGAGTGTGCTATCTTTTAGAACTAGCTTTAGAAAGGTGTAAAACCTCTAAATCAATTTCTGAAGTGCTCAGCCAAGATGAGCACATTTGGATTTTGATTTCAGCCTGTTTTTTCAGCCTTGCTTCTGTATATTTTGGCAACCCGACGTGCCGTGCTTGTGGGATACCTACCACGGCTGTTGAGAAAACTGTTCCTAGTTCAGCCCACTCCCTTCAGTCCAGTGAATGTGGTGTGCACAAACCACCAGAACTGAATCCCTTTTGATCACTTCACTGGCCAGTCCCAAAACTATGCACAGAGATGGGAATTTCATCTTGTCCTGAGATGGCTGCATTGTAGGCACTGTCATGTCAGGGCTCAGGACTACAGCTTGACAAAAGGGCACAGGAGGACTAGGTGCAGAGGGAATCAGTGCTGGACTCCACTTTGTACATGATGGAGAGTCATTCTGTGCATGCATGAAGTGTCCAGGGGCCTCCACAGCTTTGCAGACAGCCCTGGCTTTGGTCAAGCTGGGTAAACCCTGTGAAGAGACAGTTGCCTAGGAGATGTCTACTGTAACAGATGAAAGCCAGGACTACTCAAGCTGGTACCTGCACTGACTACTATAAACCTTGCAAACTGGCCATATTTAGGTCATCAGATATATTCAGGAGTTTCTCTTCTTCATGTGCAGACATTTTTGCTGGCTCCTGGGTTCAGTGTCAGCTTTGCTGTTCCCATTACAAGTCAGCATCGTTTTTGAAGGTGCCCTAGGCACATGCACCAAGTGTCTTCCGTCCTGTGCGATGTGGAACACAAGAGTAAAAGCTGAGCCATCAAATCAGCCCTAGAGCTGACTTCATAAGAAGTGCTGTTCAACACAGGACAAAAAGTGAGCTTGTTTTTCATCCTTTCACATAGTGTAATCTTATATTTTGTTTAAGCAATCATAGGCACACAATCTGGAGAGGGAAGTGAGATTTTTGAGGTTAGGCATTTTGCATTTTCTAGAAAGAGTCTATACCAGGAAACTCAAACTGTACCTGTACCACTTCCATCCAGACGTTCTGAGCTCATCACTGTATCAAAAGACTCTCTGGGAGCTGTGTCATTCCCAAGTTTCTGAAAGAGTGAGAAAAGCCCTCATATTAATATATCTGTAATTAACACAACTCTGTTAGGGAAAAAAGTTCTAATTTGGAAGCTGTAAGGCAGGGAAAGCAGTGACAGTAGTAAGTGGTGGATTTTCTCTCTCCTTGTTTCTCTTTCAGGTCTTGAAGATCTAAGTGGGAAAAAAACTATGCTGATTTGTAACTAATACTGCCACATGTCTAGCAAAGCTGCAATGACATCCTGCCTCCTAAATGACAGGTCTCCTAACGTACAGGAGTTGAACTGAAGATGCTAGCTGTAAAGTCTTTTTTCCAAAGATAGCTCCAAATTTGAAAATTCGTTGTTTAGGTTAAAAATCAGAAGTCTTTTTCTGAAGATATAGATTTTGAATATGACTGCTTAATGGATCTTATGCTCTTCCACATACAAGAATAACTTATTTTAGATAAACCTGTGACTACAGAAGTAGCAGCACTCACGTATTTACAGGCTTCCTCTAAAAACAAACAGACCTTATTTACTGAAAGGTGTTTAAAGCTACCCATCGCAAGCACTGCTGGGTGCTCAGCACCTCTAAAGAAAGGGAGCTGGCTTCTTTATGTGCTGATATTCTGGCTAAGTCTTCTGTTCTCAAAAATAGCTTTCCTAACATCCTAGCCTCAAAATAAAAGGCGTAAAGGTTTCCGTCATCTCATAACTCTAGTCTAAGTGAGCTTGAAACCTGTGTATTCACCAGAAGAACCTTACATATGCAACTAATGTGCTTGTAAAATAACAAGCCTCCTTTTACTGTCTTACCTGCTACAAAAGCTTAAGCAGAGGGATAAAGGGGAGGATATAGAAACTGCACAGAAATAAATGCAGGATATACTATGACAGCCTTATAAAGATAAGATTAGGCAAAAAAGTAAGATTTTTTTTGAAACTAAAAAAGTGGGGACAGACTTTTGCAGGCAGCTTCAATCTTGATCTTGATTTGCTATTTCAAGACCATTAGAGTGTCAAATGACTTAAACCGAATGATTGATTTGTGCTGATGACCCCTGCATTTGGTTATATAGCCAAGCGTAAGTCATGTTGACATGTTCAGAACATTACTACTACTACTCCAGCACCAACTCTGCATGACTTGTGTTGGGATCTGACTGTCCCATAGTGTTCAGAGACCCCCCACCACATGCCATGCAGCATACGTCAAACATGTTCACTGCTCTTTGGAGCTTACAATCTCAAAGACTACTAGGTATAGCACGTAGATAAAAATTTGACAATAGCAAATATAGGAAGGAAGAGAATGGTTACTAGTAGCAGCAGCACCACGTACTAATTATATAAAAATTGACAGATTTAGAGTGAAAATATTATTTTAAGTATAAAGGCATAATCTGCAAATATCCACACTGGCCATGTGCCTTTCACCTGTGGTGGTAATTCAACACAGGCATTTTAGGAGAAGCAGATTTTCAGGAGTGATGCAGATTTACCAGTACCTCCACTTTGCTTGTGTAATCTCACAGCTCCTAAAACAAAGTCTCTCTCTAGTACAAGAAAAGGATGGATATGCTGAGTGCCTGCCATTCCTGGCAAGGTTATGCTACCTCCTGACCTAAGTACAGGTGTGCACTTAAAATGGCACACTGCATTAAGGAGGATGCTATTACAATCGCCATAAACTTCCTGTACTGTAAAACTACCCTGATACAGATATAATTACCCACTCTAAGGGATATTTCACATATATATATTATATAGGTTTCAAAAACAAAATAATTTGTATGTTAAAAAGCAGATGTAAGCCAAACAACAGTCTTCTAGTCAGAAGCTTTCCAGAAATGCAATGACTTGTAGGGCCAGAACGGTAAGCTACAGTGCCCATATGGACAAAACAAAGTCCCCTCCAAAACTAGAAGCAACATTATGCTTTGTACCACTGGGTGAAAACTCTGGTTTTGTTCCCATTTCTTGACCACCATTAATATTTTGGCTAAATTCTCACCCCTTTACCTCCTAAAGCCACGTGTTTATTTGTAAGGCTGTCTTGGCTACATATTTTTGAAGAGAATACCACTCTCCACTTGCCAGATTTTTCTTCTATACCTTGGGAAAAAAAAACCCCTTTGAGAACTGAATTTACCAACTATTTCTTCATGGAATGTGAATTCTCACAAAGTTTCACTGAAATACTCATTTTCCTATGTAAATCTTGAACATATATGCATAACACTTAGCTACAGTAAATGCTGTTTAAGAGACTTGTATGACAATATGAAAACTAATTTCACTATAACTCCTTCCTCCCTCCCTAGTTATGGGACTGCTGGGGAAATATGACCATGTACAGAGACAAGTACAAAAGCCAGTACTGGCATTTATTAGTGTAGTACTCAAAAATGCAATCAGGATGTTAGCATGCTTGGGTACCTACTGCACACATATTACAAACTGCTTATGGTCCCAAAACAACACTTCTGGCAAAAATTTGCTTTGAGAAGCCATCAATCACGTCAGATAAATGCAGGTGAATTTGTCATGCAGATATATAGTGACTAGGCTCCACTTTTATTAGGAATTCATGCAAGGTTGGGAAATACTGCAGAGTTGGGTACCATGGAGAGTGAATAAACAGATTACAGATGATCTCGGTCTGCTCGAAGGCCTTACTCGAGGTATTTAAAACTTCAGTCAGTAAACACTAGATGGAGCTAAAAGATCTTTTCATGTATGCCCACAGGCAACACTAATTGCAAATATTCATCTCTACCATTAATGCACATTTGCACGTTGTATTCTAAGAAAAAGAAAACAAAAAAGCATTTACCATCTTTCCATCTACTGTGCACCTGCTCATCACTTGTATCTGTAACAAGACTGCAGTAGGGGATGAATGAAATAGTAAATTCCTTCTGGCTTTGTTTTCACGTAAAATAGCTCAGAATATAAGCAGCCATCTGTACCTTAAAGGAAAATACAATTTTCTATCATACTGGAATTCTGAAAAATTTGAAGATGTTAGGGAAGCTGATGTCATACCCATCCTAAACAATGTAACAGCAGTGGGATGCTGTCTTCCGTAGCTCAACCATCAAGATGCTATATGACTTTCACCTTCATGAATATCATGAATAAAAGTGCAAAACTGAATTATTCAATATTGTGAACTAGGATGAATTATGTGAAAAGTTGTTTTGAACAGCAGTTCAATTTTGTGTGATCTGGACAACATTAAGAATGGATAACTCAGTGGCCTGCTGTGCACATATTCTTATTTCAATTCAGTTTTCTTGTCACTCTTTAAAAAAAAATTTACTTCTGCATTCCATAAATATTATTTTTTACAAAATGTAAGATCAATAACACTATTTTCTTGACAATTAAACCTGAAAGAAGACTGGTGAGCTTTCCAACCAGTAAAAAAGCAAAGGATGAAAAAAAAAACTGGGAAAAGGCAACAACTTTTCTTTTTGATAGATGAAATTCAAGTTTTCAATCAATGCTATAAAAGTTCAATCAAAGAGGACTTTTACTCTACCCACTTAAAAAAAAAAAATACACATGCTAATATTCTACCTCAGTCACATAATTCCAGATATAATTAACTCTAGCTGACAAGTGTTAAGAACTTGAAGAGCAGCAAGCACACACAATTTATGAAGTTGTAAAAATTTACATAATCTGGAGTAGCTTGGTATTTTAGAAGTTGCAGGCAGAGTGTAACACTTAACTAAAATTTTACGGCACTTTACTTGAAAACTTGGTGTTGAAATCAGTGGGACTATTCATAGGCACTACTCAGCATCAATGAGAAAGGTGGGAATTGGTCATTTCTTCACAAAAATCGTTTTTATGCTGAGGATCCCTTTAACGAGACATAGACTACTGTGTTAATTCAAATCTGCTTATTACCAGACTCCAGTTGCAGGAATGGCTCAGACATCATGGCAAGTACTGTAAGACTATGAAGAAAGGTAAAAATGAACTTTGGGTACCTTGCTCGGTCACAGCAAGACAATTCTGCAATGTGTTAAAGGAAGGAAAACACAGCAAAGCTTGCAGATGAGCTTTGTCATAAGGTAACACCTTCCAAATTAGGGAGGATAACAGTGCAGAATGGACAGCATCTGGGTGCCCTGCACGTTGAAGAGGAAGAGAGGAGTCAAAAAAGCCTGATTCTTTGGTAATTTTAGAACATGCCAACTGCAGCTAGGAGGAAGCAGGGGATGGTAACGGGGAAGTTCAACGGTAAATGGGCATGAGGCAAAACAGGTCAGCACAAAATGCTTTGGAACAACACAAGGATATTCCATTCCACATGTCTGCGAAGTGAAGCAGGGCTCCTGCCCAGCATAAGTACTTCACAGAGGAAAACTAAAGAGAGTGAAGGGAATCTAGACAGATAATTGGGAATAGCGTATTTTTTTTTTATTATACACTTATTTTCTTTGAGTGTTAGTATTTGACATACAGAAATCAAAGGCATACAAATAATTTGGTGTGGTACAAAAGGACAGAAAAATAAAAAAGTACAACAAGAAAAGTATAAGCTGCAGTGTCTTGGAAGCCAGATTTACTTCTCTGCATGGAATATATAATTTCAAATACAGTACATCCCTCCACCTTTCTACATCACCTTCCAGAAGAGAAGAGTACAGATAGCTACCACTGTAGTTAACTTCAACCACCACAGCAGAGAACAATCCTGTTGCTGGAACACCATAATCCCTGGTGGAAAGCAGGAGTGATGCATCAAGCCCCAGCCACCAACCCTTGTAGACCCAACCCACTTCCCCTCAAGACACCTAGCTCTTGCTCACTTTTTCAACAACTCAAGAGAAATTGAATTGCCTTTACCTTCTGAGCAGAGGCTGCTCTCTTCTCTTGCTTGGCTTTCATTTCAGCAAGAAGTCCGCTGCCCATCACCTGCACGCCATACCTCCGGCCTCCTTGTGGGCTTCCTTTGCTGTCACCCCTCTCAGCTTTTGCAGCATCGTCTGGCTGGGCCTCCTCCAGTGAGTCTGGTGTCTTTAATTCCTCAGATCTCTCTGTACCACCGTTCTGCTCTGCAGGCTTTACCTCCTTCTTGCTTGTTTCCACAGCCAGACTTTTTGCAGCAACCTTGGGTGAGGAGGGCTCTTCTGTCACCAACACAGTCTGAGAACGTTCAGTTTTGGAGCCCCTTGATTTGATTAAGTTAAGGAAGCCACTCTTCCTTGAGTCCCTTTTCTTCTTCTCATCACCTGCTTCACTGGGCTCACTGCTGTCTGAAGTTTTAGTTGATGGCCTCCTAATAAAACACGCAGACATTTTAAACTCTTCTCCACGCCCCTCCTCCGTCTCTTTTGAATAGTACCTAATGACTTCTTTTGTATGATCCATAAGTTGCCCTAGGTCCAGTCACTAGCTGACGTCGCTAAATCAGAAATTGGACCACTAACACAGACGACACTGGATTCCTGTGCTGGCCTTGTGCATGGTATAATGAAGAGAGGCAGCTGTTTAATCTGCACTGGCCACCCAGCTCTTTCCAACACCAGCGAGGTGTTGCTTCAGTGGAGCTCTGCCCAAGCTGTCTAAGCACATAAAATTTCACTCTGCTCTGTTTCCAGAGTTTACTACTTCTGGTTTATATCTGCCCACTAGTAAAAGGAGAACAACTGATCCAGGCACAAAATTCACACAGCTTTTGGGGGTTCTTGTCCCTTAAGGGCCCTGCTTGAAATAGGAACTAGACAACAGAGCCACCTTCTCTCAATAAGGAACACACAGATGTCACCTTTATAGTGCAGGTGCTCATTCTCCAAAAAAAAAAAAAAAAAAAACCCCACCCCCAAAACACCCCCCCTGCCAATATGACTTTCTACAGGCATCTTACAAGCACAGTATTCACACTTGCGGGCAAAGGTGGGTGCACCGCACGTCTGCGTATGACGACCACAACTGGAAAAAGCCACCAGTGCAGCAAATGGAGCAAAGATCCTTAGCCACGGTCACGGCCAGGGACAGGCACACAGGGATATTGCAAGTTCATGGGGACATCTGAAATGAGTGGCTGGCAGGCACCCAAGGGAAGCACAGGAGGATGCAGTAGTCTGTGAACACCCTGAACTTAACCTGGCTAATCAATTTTTCCTGCCACAGCTATCTACCAGTTAACACCTACTATTTTCCTTAATGGACATCACATACAGCACAGAAGGTTTCATTCCAAGTTGTCTGGAAATCACCTTAGCTTCCCCCTTATGTAAGTATTTGCGTGTGTGTGTGTGTGCGCATATGTGTGTGTGTGCGTGTGTACACGCACAAACACGTAGGAATACAAGAACATCTTGATGCACGGATGTGTAAATACACAACCAGATACAAAGCAGATGTATCAGCTGTATAACCCTGCTACAAAGCTGAAGGAGACATATCTTTCAGATTAATGTATTGCCTAAATCTGCAATATTACAAATTGGTCAAACACATCTTTAACATATTTCTAAAACAATATAAATCTACTGTCATCTATCAAAACACTGTGCCCAACAGCAGTCCTTACTAGACAGAGACATTCATGTGTACTACTAGCACTGGAGATGAGAGCCTCAACCAATACACAGCGCTGCTTCAGCTCTAATGAGCTCCACTGAAGGGCAAAATGAAGACAACTGAATTACAAAAATACACACTAGTTAATAATCCCCTCTGCATGCCATATTAAAGCAATTTATTTAAAAGTAGTCGTTTTTAAGGGAGGGTAACTGAATTCACAATGTCTTGACTACTAAGGTAACACAAGTCAAATACAACTTAGAAGTGTTACTTGCCCAGCTATCAGGATGGACTTTTTTTTTAAATTAATTTTTTAAAAAATTAAATTCAAACTTACTTTGAATCCATTTTTGTCACTTTCTTAGTGAAAAATTCATCCACACCTTCATCCACTCTCCCCATGAGGCCATTCTGATCCCCTTCTGGAGGCACTCCAGCAGACACCTGACAGAAGAAAAAACTCTCTCTGGCATATAATAATCTAAGCATATTTATTTCAATGATAATAATTAAGAGTTAAGTTACTATAAAAATTGCATGTGCCAACCAAACCTCAGTGCAGACAATGGCATCACCAACTGGACTTCCCCCTTTAGTAAGGCCAGTAGATGCATTACATCAAACACAAAGTCACCCAAAACACCAGTGACAAATTGGATATTGCAATGCATGAGGCCAGGAAATCAAATGCCTTGGGCTTGTGAGAACACAGCACTAGTTCACTTAGAAAATAAAAAAGCAGTTAAGGAAGAATTAAATCCTTATCAGGTAATGACCTGAAGATAAAGTATTTTCAACAGTAACTTTTTTCCCTGTTCAGAGAAAAACATACGTTCTGGATTTTGGATTTAGAGATTTAGAAACAGAGCTCCAGCAGGCTAACAAGAGCCTTTCATAACTCATTCAATCCAGCATTTCCAAAAGCAGAGGCTCTAAATACAGAATCAGGTGTTTAACTTTAGGAAGCAAACCTAGATTTTCCACTGAGTGTCTGAAAATGGAAAACCTGCTCCCTTTCTTTCACTTCAGTGTCTACGTTTTGAATGTGAGTGACTGGAGGAACCAGCACCAGGCTGATTTAGCAATACCTGCCAACCACAAAGGCCCTGTGAAGATTAGCTGGTGACTCTGCAGCCTCCTGAAGATGAAACATGCCATCTCCTGGGAGGATTTCTCATGCGGTCTAGCTCCCATATGTGGCTTTAATGTGGAAAAGCTCTATTACCAGTAGAGAGACTTCCTTCAATTTAAATGCTGTATGGAAACCTTTTAGGTGACTACAGAGGATTCCACAAGACCCAACCCAGTTATATTTTTGGTAGTAGGCCAGGAATCAGTCTGACACAAAATAGCAGGATTCGTAATTTGAAGCAATTTAAATCATGGTAATTCAGAGTAATCCAAGCTTCCCTTTTCAGCTGGAACACACACTCTTTTCCATGCCTCTAAAAAGGAAAATAAATACTCTTAGAAGCTGCTGTTAACATCAAACCCAGCCTCATTAAGCCAGGACAACAGACTGCATATGAACTAATGCTTTGACACATTGATTAAACTTTTTACTTTCCAGTGGCTGAACCTTGTTAGAAGCCTAGTATTCAGTTTGCTTTGAAAGATAATAGGTAATATTTTATTGATACCTGCTGTAGCAATGTAGTAATGATATGAAGAGAGTCCATCTGGTAACAACGGCTTTGTTGCCAGTCAAACTGCGTATTTTCTGTAAAAACCAGTTTTATTCTAAGAAGCACAATGACTTCTCAGACTTTCACTGACACTAGGCAGCAATGCATATACTGACATCTGGGTTGATCACACCAGTGCTAGTTGTCTCAGTGTAAATATTTACCTTCTCAGTCAAAGAACAGTTGACACTGACATTTCAACTGAAACACGTCAACCAAAAGTGGCTGATGTATTTCAACAGAAATGAGAAACCATTTAATATTGACACCGGAACCCTCCAAACAGCAGGAACAAACATGTAAGCATCAAAGGCAAGTGCGTCTCCTCAAGCGGAAGCAATGCAAGGATCCAATAATCCATAGCAAATGAGAAGATCTACCTGCAGTAATTTTGCATCTGAAAAAGCAACAAGTTCCTAAAAACGTACTGAAGGCATACACAAATGTTGAGGGCCTAATAAGGTCCACAAGGAACAGGATATTCTTATGGTTGTTGATTTTAATGCCTTTTAAGCGTTTAATGTTAATGTAAAAGACTGAACTCTGCTTTATTTCGTGTTTTATGCTCTTAATGCTAAGAAAAAAAATAGCAGTTTTACTTTGTGCCTTTTTTTTTTTTTTTTTACCCTAACTTTAAAGGTAAGCCTTCTGTTTACTAAAGAAAAAAACTGGCCTGGAAGCACAAACAAATAAGGTGAATCACAACCTCTTTCATACATTAGAGATTCACCTCTTTCTCATACTCAATCTTCATACATGATGGAAGAACTCATGAGGTTGAGATTTCACAATTTCTAAATTATAAACTGTTTCTTCATATTGCTTCAAAGCTACTCGGGAGGTAGGTGGTGCTGAGGTTTTCTTTTTAATCCCCTCTCTCTTTTTCCCCTCTGAACACTCATTTCAGTCAAAACCTTGACAAAACTACAAATCTTTCTTTTGCCTGCCCACCTACCCCAAGTTAAAAGCTTACACTTCTCCCCTTTTTTCTCCATTTTTCCTTTCTTTTCCATACATTTCTCAGCTTACAAAGAACAAATCTGTTTTCCAGCAAAACCAGAGAAATACAGCTATGATCATTTGAGACCCCTTACATTACTAAATGGAAATAACGGGAACAGCAAACTACCCAACAGACCTGCTTTAAGAGGTAGAAAAGGTCAAGATTTTGCCTCTCACATTTCAAGTGCTTTTCCTAATCACAGATTTCTGTATTCTCAAAGTGGCAAAACCAGAAGCAAATCAATTCTGCAAACAATACCACAGTCCACTCACGACTCTGGCCTTCAAAATTTGGCTGTTTAATTTTTGCAAGAATCAAAGCAAACATCTTAAGTCTTTCAAAAATTTCTTTAGACTTGTTATGAGGTCAGAACTACTAAGGAATTAAATGGTCCATAAAAACAAGACAGGGACAAATGAGTTTTAAAAAGTTCCTTTCCATTTCTCCAACTAAACAAACTCCTAACTTCCTAATTAATTCAATATGGATGAGTATTCCCACAACATTGCACTATCATGGGAAGCAACAGTTCTTCTCTACAATAAGTAAGTTTTTTGCTTCTGTTGAGCAAGACTTTGTATGTCCTAGTTCCATGCCTAGTAGCAGAGCACTTGGCCTCCCATGTCCCCACTCCTTCCCCACCCCTGTGCAGACAGCACAGGATGAGCAGAGTTTGGAAGAGAGGCAAGTTTAGCAACTGGGAAAACATGTGTGTTCTGCAGAATTGGAATTGGAAGTAGTAAACACAGATGCGTTTACACTACAATGCAGAGACCAGTCTGTCCTGCTGCCTCTTATCCTTCCTTGTAAGGTACAAGAGAACCGAAGGTTGGCTTGAATATCCCATCTGCTTAAAGGTTTCTCCATTTCCAAGAGGTGCAAAAAGTACTCTACTGCCTGATACGATCTCTCCCAGCATCAGGGAAATTTTCAAAGGTCATCTCCAACGACTGTCCTCAGCGAGAAGAGGAGGCCACAGACGTTCATTACTAGGCAGCATAACTCAGAAAAGCAATGGCTGCCCCTTGATAAGGGTTACTTATCATATCAGCTGTGCTCTGTTGCCATGAGATAGCTCTGTAACTCCTCCAGATCTGTCCTTACATACCCTGAGGACATACCACCACAGAAGTAAATCTTTATTGACGTGGTATGCCAAGGAAATGGAAGTGTGGGAACTCCACACACATATACTTGGGTTCACACCAATGCTTTTCGTAGACAGACAGTGCTCTTCTGTTTTGCTTTTCTAAGGCAGGCTCCAGCATGAAAAGCAGATCTGTGACTACGCAGATTTGCTGGCCCAAACACCATCTTTAGTTAAGGAGCTGTGGGAAGCTGGGTGTCACAGAGTAGTTCCTCTGAGAGCTGACAGAAATAAGAAATCTTGCCAAGCTACCATGTCCTAATGCAGGCAGAAAAAAGGATTAAGACTTTACAAACCCTTGCAATATAATTGAAAAGTCTCATGAAATTTTGTGTGTTTCCTGTGAAAGCTCCAAGAACCTCTAGAAAGTGCTTCCATGAAAAAACAAAAGCAAATTAAAAAAGGATAAAACATATCCTGGTTTTAGGTTGTGTCAAACAAGACAAAAAGCTTGTAGGAGGGATTGCACACTGAAAGACATGAATAGCACAAGAAAAAATAAGTAGTTGCTTATGGCTTTTAAAACATGAACAGTTGTCCTCATTACATTTCAAGACCCAACTCATGGCAAAAAGCAATCAACACACAACATCGACAGCAATATTTTAATGCAGACTCACTGCTGCTTGGCTGGGCTGCTGCTTTTTATTCCTTTTGGGCCTTAACTTTGTAAAGTGTTCCAGTTTTCTCCCTTCTTCTGATGGCAGCTCTGAAATGAATCCAGAAGTTCGTTTGTCCGGCCTGCTGGAAGGAAATGGTGGGTCTTCTATGTGGATAGGTACTTCTTCCAGTGCTTTATCTAGATCAAATTCCATTTCTAAGAGAAATCAAAACTTTCTAATTAGACTTGTCATGCTATTCAAAACAAAAGACAATGCCATTCCTCTCTTTTGTGGTAAATAAGTATAACACATTTAGACTACTCAGCCACAACATGTTTGTGAGCAGACAGAGCACTGTGACCAAATATTTACTACTGAACACACCAGCAGAGTCATCAAATAAAGCAACCAGAGTGGGCCTCAAATGGAATCCAGAGGGAGGGAGAGTCACCTGTGCTTTTCAGTCAAGAACCACCTAGAAGAATCTCAGGCAAGCAAAGAAGCAAAAAGGTTTTAAGAAATTCTCTCTTACCAAAAGCTCTGGACACCGGCCGGAGCATTCTACTGTGGATGCTTTTCCTTTTTGATTTAGGAGTCATCTATCAACATAAAACAAAATAAAAATTACTTTAGTGAACAGAAGAAATTACAAAGAACACCCCTTCCTTTGTATCCAACAAATCGTTTCTTTTAGCCTATGTATCATTTATTTCAAGATCCAGCTGGGTTTCACACCAGGAGGGAATGGGGTTTTTTCTTCCCCTTCTCAAACATTCATTTTCAAAACTGACATTTTGTTCAACTGACTTTGAACAGAACCAGGGAGGTAGTTTATTCTTCCCATTAAAACTGTAGGCTGTACATGGGATGATTATTTGAATTGTCCAAGCATTGACTCATTGACCCCTAACTGTAAACCAAGGGAACTATTAAAAGCTCACCTCTGCATTTGAGATCATGACACACAAAAAACTTAATTACTGCATCCAGTACTGCGCAGTTAATGACAATACCAGGGATAGTCTGCCCCTTGTTCTGTCTTTTATTTTTGATACAAAATACACTTCCTCAGTTCATCTGTTAGTGACGTGCTACTGGGAATGATTAAAATTCAGGTATCTGTGCCTCTGGACACCACCACACAGCTCACCAAACTTCCCTAGGAAAATGTGGTCTTGGAGCACACAACCCTTCTTCAAAAAGCAAAAACACTGTGTCAGTGTTAGCAATATCTCCAGCAAACCCATGATCTGCCTGGACTGCAGATATGCTGAGAATAGGTGGAAAGGTACCTCAGCATGCATTCAACATAGTTACTGAAAGTTATGCACTATTATTCTCATGTTCACATTCCCAGAAAAAGGAGTATGTTGCCTTAAGAGCACAAATACCTACACTTAAGACCTGGTTTTGTTGTTTTGGAAGAAAGCTGCCCTTATTCTCTTGCCTGAAGTCTTCTGAAAGTTTCCATGGCAAGAAAGACAGTTTTCCTACATGAAACACATGCATCACCAATTCCAAAACTCTTAACATAGCTCAGCATTGTAAGACAAAACAAAAAGCTGACCTGCAGGTTTTCTAACAAGTTAATTTAAAATGACTCAGCTTCTGCAAAGATGGGCTCCTTTTGTGGTAGATTCATAACTGCTGCCTTTAGTGACATCCATATACTTCCATTTACTTGCTAGCCTTGTAGCATAGTGGCTTCAAATCCGGAGTGACAATCAAGAAGCTGTTATGGCTCACAACTCATTAGCAGAATTGTTAATCAAGCTTAGCAGTATCAATGTCATATGAGCCAGAAAAGACATAGTTGGCATTGACACTTCAGACGAATCATGTATTGTTCAAGGTAAATATTTGCTAGTTTTGATGTACAGAAAGTTTAGTGCACAGACTTACATGTACTGAATTCATATTCCCAAACAAAGTAAATCAGGAGGATTATTATGCCACTATTCACATGCTCAGGGTTATGACAGGTTTGCATAATGGAAAGTTATCACTGATCTTCTCAATACCAGAAAAGGACTTGCAGACCACAAAGCAGGCAGTGATAGCACTGCCTTAGGCAACAGGGACCTTGCTTTTATTGCCATGCACATCGCTGGGAAAAAAAAAAAGATACCTTTAGCTGTTGCAGGTTTCCACGTCCACATTTAACAAGCATCAGTAAATGACAGAATAGTTTTAAGACCAGCCAGGAAGTAGCTTGCCACCTGAGCAAACTTACACTGAAACTAATGAGCAGGCAAAAGGGTCAGACTTCACTTTCAGAGTTACCAGTACATGAAATGCAATAGATTCGATGGCAAGCAGCTAGAGAGGTTCTGAACTTTTTCAGCCACAATTGCAGCAGATTGTGCAGTGGGTAGGCAACTGGGTAGCCTCTGAACTGCACACTTCAACAGCTACCTGTTCATCACACAAACCTGAAACAGCCAAAGGCTCACGTAAGGAAAAGTTGAAGCAGCTAAACATTTGGTGGTGGGGGGGGCGGGGAGTGGGACACGGACGACAGAAATTAGGAGTCATTATCATTAATCCCCCTGGTTTTATTTTCAGACATAGCCCACTTCTCTTGTAAATGCATAAATGCATATCGGCATGCATTTTGGTCTGCTTGCCACTTTTTCTGGTGGTGTGGATGGAAATTACATCTAGTAGGATAATGCAGTAACTCATGCGCTACAGAAGATCAGAAAGGAGGACAGAAAACAAGGCTGATGGGAGACCTCCAATTGCTCTGTAACTTCACAGCTATGGCCAGTGTTCAGAGGGCTCCTGGACGAACACGGACAAATGAGAGCTGCATCAGCTCACGGCATGAATGCAAAACAGCACGGGGCAAGTTTCGAGGTTCCTGTGCAGGGACCGAAATGCTTCAAGACATCTCTGACAGCCAGGACAAGAATTATTTCATCTTCCTCCCCAGACAAGAAAATGTCCCCAGACGACCCTGCAGAGCTTGTGCTGATGGCCATAAGCCAGCCTCTAGATCACTGCTGTAACTTACTGTCAGCTTGGCATCCATCAGCAGCTTAGATGCTGAGGGTAAAGGCAGAGGGACAGTGATGCTTCCCATTTACTTTAGCAGCATGAATAACAGCTATACATATACTTTTATTTGCAAACCTTCTGTTTTCTAGCCTATTTAGGAAGTGCACAGATGAAAGACTTGTTGCCAAGTGAACTTTCTAGATCACACGCAGAGCAAAAATGGGTCAAAGCATTAATTTAAATAGGCCAATGTGCTCTTTTTACAAAATATTAGACTTAATCTCAGCTTAATATCTCAGCCACTGTGCAGTATGCTCCAGCAGCATAGCACATGTCATTACCAGAGGAAATGTCTGATTTGGAAAGATCTCTGCCTCTCCCCAACCTGAGCCCCATTTCCCACAGTTCATGGAAGCAGTGCAGACCTGGCAGATGTGCGTCTTCTACCTTTGCACTACCTCTGGCCACACAAGCACAACGCAGCTCTCCTGCCCAACATTTAACTTGTGGCCTTTACAGGGGAATAGCTGTTAATATCAGCTTCCCCGCCTTAATTTCTTACATGTCTTCCAGGGACTTTCCATTCTAGCAGGCCATCTCCTGAACTTCCTTGTTTTGCCTACTTTTCTGTGAGCACACTGTACGCTGCCTGGCAGAACAGATAAAAAGATTAACTACATCTCTGGGTCTTAGGAGGCCCTTAGGAAGTCTCCATGCACCTATACCACTGAGATCTCTGAAGATGGCTCCATGAAGCTACCTCTCCTGCAGTAAATGGGAGCCAGAAAATCTCTACCATGCTCCCAAATAAGGGCCTATTTAGAGTTAGGCACTCTCATGTGTCCAAGCTAGCTTTAAACTCTGACGATCTCTTCCCATGATCACTTTTCCAGATTCCTCCCTCCTTCCTCTCAAAACTGAATTCTCTTGAGTCTTCTTAAATTACATTACCAACTGTGGGAGAACACTTATCGCTTGGGAATTAAAACAACAACTAAAATAACTTTGTTTTGAGTGCTAGAAAACAATGTGCTTGGAATTAAAACAACAACTAAAATAACTTTGAGTGCTAGAAAACAATGTGCTGGTAGCAACAGGGTCTCAGATACTCTACACTCCTCGATTATACAGACAATTGAAATTGCTCTCAGTGCTGAGGGACATGCTCATTTCTGTTTTTCTCCTCCTCTTCTAAAGTTTTTTATATTCAAAACCTACTAGATATTTATTAAATAAATAAACCTACTAAATATTTATATTCAAACCTACTAGATACAGGGATGCTCTGTGACTCTCCTGTCACTTTCCTTTCAAAAGATTTTAAACAAACTAATTAACAACTTCCCCCTCCTTCTTGAAATTCAGCTCCCCAACCAGTCTTCCTTCAACCCTCCTTCCTGCAAAACAACGTATCAGTTTTCAGCTTTGAGGACACATTAACGGTGACAGCATAAAAGGTGAGAACAGCAGTCAAAAGCTCAACTAGACAAAGAAGAGACAACTGACCAAACTGAGATAACCCCTGACATCTCTTCCACCCTCATGGCCAGAAAGTCCTGGTTTATCCCCATGTTTAAGCCATTCTTTCATTAAGCTGGATGATGTTGAATAAAAAACCAAATCAACAGATTTTCTTTCCGAGCAGTAATGTTTGTGCTTATACCTCCGACGTCTGACTCTGCTTTGATTTGGTCTTAAAGCCAAGGGATGTTTTAAATTCATATGCTAGGCTAGCTGAACCTTCTTGCAAAATTCAATCTCATCCCTGAACTGCTGCCTGTTTCATTCGTGCAGACGGATGGCACTGCAGTCTCCCAGGAGACTCACAGACAGTACAGAGGCAAATGGAGCACAAAAATGTAAACAAGTAGGCCAGAAACAGCAGAGCTAAAAAAATACTTACACTTGTACAGCAGAGAGTCTCCATGCAGCAAAAAAGAAAGAAAAAAGAATATGAATGGGGAAGACAAAGCAACAGCAGTTCTCAGGAAAGGAGGCAAAACCAGAAATCACCAAAATAAAGAAAACTAAAGCCAAAACATTTAGAAGTCTTAGCAGGAAAGGTGACATGCAAGAATGACGTAAAATCCCTGGCATCCGGAGGTGCTACACACTTTGTGTTTCTAGAGGATAACCTGAGAAGGACATGATCTCTCTTGTTTTATCTCTATTGGGACAAATTCGTGTCTTCAGATGTTTGTTTCCAATATATGGTGCTCGCCAGTAGTGCTAACCTGCCACCTGCTGTCCCAATGTACTGTATTTTTTCATTTTGCTGGCACCAGTAATGAGAAAAAGCTGTAATTTTGTTGTTTGCTAGTCTGAAGGAAGCTTCTGAATTAAAAATATGCAGTTTGTTGTGGAAAGTAGGAGAGCAAGGAAAACAAAACAAAGCTTCTCTTGGAAGAATGAAAAGGGATGCAAGTCTGTTCTCCTGAGGTTTAAACAAACCTATTAATAGAGAGATCCAAAGCAACAGTATTTCTCCTTTCTGTAAGGAGGTTCAGAGGCGCAGGCCTTTCAAGTACTTTTGGCACACCAGAAGAATGCTGCCGCATTAGTAAAGCATGACTTTTCCTCTCCCCTTCAAAAAATTAAA